TGAGCAAACTTGAGTATGATTTCAAGCACTAGAAATACGACTCTAATAGCAAGGACTTGAGTATGATTTTCAGTGCTCACTGCACTACTAAAGTTCTGACTTGAGCATTGAGCAGAGTTCTGGAATACGACTCTTAGTGTACAAGCGAGAGTTTTCTAGATTCGTATAGCCTTGGATTCGGAACGAATACGAATTGGATGTAGTGCGCACGCGTGCTAAAGTTTAATGTGAAATTACACGTATATACAAGGGACTTGTCAACTTATATCCCAGGGTGACGGGCGCAATGGCGGTGCCCCTCTATTTTATTATTTTTATTATTATTTTTATGTTGTAATTTAAAGCTCTAAGTGGTTTTGAAACTGTTAGAGACAGCTGTGTTGCTTACCACCAGACGCACTACTTATTTGTCATGTCACTTGGAATCACAAAAGAAAAATTAAGTCATGCTGGTATCAACTTAGGCGATTAACACTCTGCACCGCGTCCCGCGACGGAGCGCGGAATTGCGTTTTTTAACGTTGTACTGAAATATCTCGGTTTGTATGGAAAACACGCGCCGTCGAACACAGTCACAACACGGCGAACAGTAGGGTATGTCACACTGCGCTCCGCACTACCGCGCAGATTTTTAATCTTTATTAAGTTTGTATATTTTAGAGCATAGACCACAAAATAGTAGAACTTAACATTTTATTTTATAAAAAAATAAGCGCGTGACCTTCATCTAACCTGGTGGAAAGTGACGATGAGGTCGACGACGTAGCATGCACACCTAAATAATGCCTATTCAATCTTGCCTTGAAAAGGCCCAAGTTACAACTTTCAAGGAACAAGTCTGCCGGCAGAGAATTCCACTCCAAACGTTCGCCATATAAATATGGAAGCGAAACGTTGCGTGCGAATCCTTGGAATATCCACAACATAGGGATGGAATCATTGAAAAGTTATCAAAGAAAATATATAAATATACACGCCCTATGCTCAAGGTAATAAAATTCAATATTCTTGACTGATTTTGTTTATTTATTGAGATCGTAACTACTTTCCACGACATCGATTCCACCCGTATCCTTTTCACCCGATCATGGTTTCGGGGGTAAACGTCAAATAGTAGTTTATAGATAAGGTCCTCTATACTCTGTATAGGGGTACACGAAAGGAGCCTACCAGCACGACGTACTATTCGCATATAATGGCAAGTATAGTGTATGCCATCGATACGTTATGAAGATAGTTTGCATTTATATAAACTTCGAGAATAGGAGAAGGAAAATGCGTGTGTTACGCAAAGCGTGTTACACAAAACGGACAGTCGTCGCGATTTCTGTCTAAGTTATTACGCATGTCGAACTAGAGACAGAAGTAGGTAGGCATAGTTGACAACCAATTTTCACAAATGCGTTATATTGTTCAATTAAGGTTTCTTCTCTGTTAAACCTCTTTACACGGCAATATTATCATTAATAATGACAACGTTTTTATAAAAAAAAAACACTTCAAAAATTTGCTTATCCGCTTTCACTGTGTTTGTTTGTTACATCCATTTACCAAGTTTTATTGAAATCGGTTGAAAAACAGAAAGTGAGTGAAATCCTGTAAGCCGGAAACATTCCCAAATATTTTCTTCAAATTTGAATTGGACCATGTCATTGGCATGAAGTTCATTGTGCTATGTACGATCTCGTAATAAATCGCTGATAAGGCCTCAAAATATAAATATCAACGTGATGTCAATGTTAGTCTATCTTGTATCTCTTTATCTTTTGCCTAGTATCGTACCTATATAAATTTGTGTTATACGTGATTTAATTTATCAATAAATATATGATGAGCTTTGAGAAATTTGTATACCTGACTATTGCAATTTTGTTTTCCGTCTATAATCCGAATTTTATCTGAAAATGTATCAAAAAGAATTTTATTCGAAGCTCAACATGGGCTTATTTGTTTGTCTAATCAACGTAAACAAATGAAAGAGGAATTTTGATACATAAATTCTCATTTGCTTATTATTGTGGATGTATTAAACCTACTCACCGTAAGGCTAAATTCGCGAAACACGTGTACTCTTGCTTGATATGATAAACTATCATTGTTTTGTAAAAAATTGATGGCCGCTAAGTACGGTTGACAGCGTATTTAACTAACTTCGCCTTATCGACGTTTTACTGCTGTTTGTATATTAATTACACGTATTAATCGAACTTTATTTGAAATGCAAACACAAAACAAACAACTAATATAACAAACATGTCAAACGGGTTTATTAGCCACATGACAGTGGAGTACATATCCCTCGCTAATATTATGCCATAGGGTTACCTATCAGAAGTCCGAAATGACATTTTCCAGAATTAACGTGTGAATTTTCGTAACCTCGAAAGTAATTTTGAGACGAAAATATTTTTTCTTTTAAACCTAATTTAATCTGACCTAACCAAACTTAATCGTATCTTTGTGATAAACGTCCACCATATCCTGAAAGAACAACGGCTTCGTTATAATTGGGTTTTCGGGGTAATGAAAATTTGAACAAACGTTACTTCGGAAAAAATTAATTAGAATTTGTGATAGGTTACCATGCCATAGCCTTTGATGTGATATAGAGTTATCAAACTATTCGTTAAAAGCTGTACAAGTACTATGTATGATAGCTACAAGTAAGTAGCCAAGCGCAGTAGTAGATTGGATTAGATCAAACTCGATTTACATGTAAAAACAGCTTTAAACTTACATAAAACGGAGGTGTCATATCCGGATGGGGACGGAAACGTGGTATACTTAAACCATCCCCGTCAATTTCCGAAAATTCTTTGCTAAATCCTTCAGGGAACACAAATACAAATGACACTAGCACAACACAAAACAATGCTTTTAATTCACCCATATTCACATTAACACATTTCCTAAGAATAAACGTAACGTAGTGCGTAATGAGCAATCCACAAGACTATTGGATATAGTGTCATTTTCATTTCACATTCACTTTCAAAGAATCACATTTGAACTACAACAGTGTAAAACACTCGCGATTAGTAATCAAGGTAAAGAAACGTATATAAAACACCGTTTTTCCGCGAGCACTGCAAAACTAAATTCAAGGCATATTTTATCAATTTGCACATAATCAGTCGATAATATAGAACTAGAAAAGCATTTGGTTATTCATTGATGACGTACTTTATCAACAAGTATGTACTCAGAGATAAGATTATATTATACCTACAATGTACATAAGTGTGATATTGAAATATAATATTTTTATTATAATTAAATAGAGGCATTTGAAATTCAGGTAATTTGCGTGACCAAAACTTCGGGTTGCGTAAAACTAGAACTCAAGACTAGATTTGAGCCGGCAGTACTTGGTGTCACGGTTTGGCCTTCATAAGAAAATGTTTGTATGGATTTTCCCAAACGTCCACGGCATGTGGTATAATTAATTCTACGTTTAAGCTTATAACGTTACTAATATTAATATGTAAGCCATATGTTGCTTAAAAAAGATTCAATGAGCAAAAAACCCAAAAACATATGTGTACACATTAGTTTTAAGTAGTTCAGGTACAGTTTTTGTTCTTGTATATACTTTTTTGGGCCTGAAGCATGTAATTATGTTTTTCTACTCCTTATACGCTTATTTGTCAATTATAATTTCATAAATCATATTACAAAGGCGCTCTTTTTACTTCTGAACCAAAATTCTATATATATGGTAGTATTAGGTATATGGTACTTGCGACACAACTGAAGAATTTAATAAAAATAAAGAACTGCGCATTTTTCCTAATTAAATGAGTTCCATTAAATCATCACGGTATTCCTGAAAAGAATAACGACGGTGTATTTGTGAAATTATTAAAATTAAAACAATATTATTAAATATCTCTAAATGTTACATAAAAGGCGTAACCGTTTGGCAAAAAATAACTATTTAACAACAGTTTATCCATAAAATATCAAATATGACGCTACTCAATCGCTCTTGGTTAAAATGTAAGCGGTACTTGGCCAATCACGGGCAGTTATGTAGAACATTTCTATCTTTTGTTTTTTTTTGTCGTGTAATGTTTGTTTGCTTCCGTTTGAGTTTGTTGTCGTTGATTGTTAACAAATACTTAATTATTCTAATGTAGGGATTATATTTTATTTTTTTCTTTTTAACTGTAAAGAAAGTAGGGATTATAGCCAATAAGTATGACGTATATCTACTTTTATACTTTGTAACGTATTGTATATTTGCCGTTGTTGTATATTCATCATGTTGGCTTTCCTATACAATAAATAAATAAATACTTTGTCTTTAAATCGATACCTCACACGTACGTTGTTGTAAGTCAAAATGTAATTTTTTGCTTTTTAACTTAAATATATCCTTTTTATGTATATAAAATTCCACATTTTTGTATATTTTTATGTATATAAGGTTCCATATTCAAAAGTAGGTTAAAGAAATCACTAGTGTTATGTTTATTTTCAAACATGGAACCTACAATATACTCGTACATAAAAATGGATAGTTTGACTTACACCAACTTACGTGGAAGGTGTCGAAATATTGGTTGTGTTTCATTTTTTTAATTTACTCGTAGAATAAGTATTGTATGCAATCATTACAATATAATTAGGTCTTAAAAGCACCTATTACCTAGGGGAGTCGGCAAACACGATACTTGGCTTCAAGAACTCTCATTATACAACGATTTTATGAAACGGTTTAATAGCAGTAGAGCTTCTTGTGAAACAGTTTGTTCAGGGACCTATTTCTGCCACCAAGCAGTAATATTAGCATTACTACATTCCGGTTTAGAAGGGTAAGGGTGCTGGTGAAATTACTGGCACATGGGACTTGTCAACGTACGTCACAGGGTGACGGGCGCAGAGGCTATGTCCCTCAAATCCATGCGATTCAAAGCTGAGTGGCACTACAACTGCTAAGGACAGGCGTGTCGCCTACCGCCAGGCGCACATAAAAACTGTGAAAATGGTATACTTACATATTTCGAAGATAAATTGTCCAAGCGAGTGTCAACCGAGGACAGTATTTGATCATCTTCCAGAGCCGACAAAGTTGAATATTCTGTCGGTTCAGTGGTAAGATTCTCAGGCACCTTACTTGTAGTCAACTGTACTTTGGTCCCGGATATAATGTTGATGACACTTTTACCACCAAGCAGGGACAATCCGGGTGTACATCGCACATTTACACACAAATACACAACAATATAGGCAACACGAAGTTGACATTTCATCATTATGATCACATCACTTAAACTTATTATATTTTATAAATAAATGGGGATTTTTATTCGATGTTTGGCTCATAGTTAGTATTTCCACGATTTTTTTAAGTATATAATTATTTTTGTTTTATATAGAAATATATAACAACACCTGAAAAAATACGAGCAATACATATGTAGTGTAGCGAGTCGCAGCAGTTGCTACAAATCTTTTTTGTATATATTTTATAGTCTCTTTAAGTTTTAGTTTTACATTTACATTCTAAATTTAAACGCAATTGTTTTGGCGCCTTTTTTACTACTGTTTTCGTTTTTTAGATTGATAGCTGTACGTGTTTTAAATGAATAAACTATAAGTACATTTGCTTTTGGCCTTGCTCACTCGTTGTTAGCACCCACTCTTTAACCCATTGATACAGTCCACTACAGATATGTTTGAGTGAAAGGTAACTTCTAGGCAAACATTTCCGTTTACGATGAAGACGATGCATCTAGTGAGATTGTAGACAGCCGTAAGTCTGTGCTTTGGTTTATTTAGTTTGGTTTGTTTCTCAAACATAATGTTACAATACAAATGGCATAACTATAAGAAAATATATTGAGATCGTCAAAAAAATATTGTTGTCATTAAATAATATCAAGGATTGGCATAAATCTACTATATATAAGAAGCAGTTGAATGAATTAGTAAATTTATTTATATATTTATATTTATAATAAGAATTAGTAGCAGTAGAGCTTCTTGTGATAGGGTTCGTCCAGGGAAGTGCTGCCACCTTACCTATTTCTGCCGCCAAGCAGTAATGTCAGCATTATTGTGTTACGGTTTTGAAAGGTAAGGGTGCCGGTGAAATTACAGGCACATGGGACTTATGTCTCAGGACAACGGGCATAGTGGCAGTGCCCCTCACGCGCTCGACTTGCTCGTACAAATAAAATTTCGACGTTTCGATTAAAGTTGATAATAATAAAATAACCGCAACTTTTTATATTAAAAAAATCCACGTCAAAAGTTTGTGGAATCGTGTATGTATATTGCCACGTTTTATTAAAATATGTTAACAGAAATTGAGTGAAATCCCATAAACCGCATTCATCCTCTAATTTGCCGTCCTTGGAGGTAGAGTATTTTCTTAAAATTTGAACAAGCCCACTACTGAGGTCACCTTTCTAACAAAAAAGAATCATCAAAATCGGTTCACAAATGTCAGAGTAATCGCATAACATACACACAAAACCCCTTTTTTCTAAAGTCAGTTAATAAAAAGCAATCATATTTGTACGATATTCGTTCAAAGGGTAAACGGGTTTTTTAACAAAAACATCCTTTAGCTAGCGACTAAATGCGGCGTATACATATTATCTAACATAATAGAAAATAATTTTCTTTTATTACAGTTTATAATAATAATAATAACGCACACACTCAACATAGCCCCGCACTAGGGAGACCCTGTGACAGGGAGACAATCACTAATTACAACCAAACTCACTCTGTGTGGCAGTCCGGCATGGTAACCGTTCGGCCCCGGAGGCAGTTAATTATCATTCGGTAACCTGAATACTTACAATATAAACCAAACTAAACGTTTTAGAAATCTTTTATCCATCTTAACCCAACAACCGTTATTCTGAGTAGAGCTAGGATTATAAAGCTGCGCATGATGCACTTTGGTTCTTGCCGCACTAAGTTAATTGTCTATAAAAAAGTTTTAACATTGATTTTCGTTTTCGAATTTTAAATGTATGTTTTTTCTGTTGTTATCTTTAAACACAATTTAACTAAGCACTGAATCCGCTTCAAAACCTCAAACGAATATGATAATAATTTAGATAACGTTAATAATATTTATCAGTAAAAAATAATCCTTTTAGCAACAAAATTTCGGGTAGCCATGTCTTTTGGATATTGTGCACTATTTTATATGAAGACAAAGACATTCACTCTATCTTATCATTATCAGGAACAGAGAAAGATGAGATTGTTTTTCAAATAAACAATACATAAGATTATTATCCGGTATATAAAATTTCTACGAGTTATTATAGGTACAGCAATTATAAGAATAATAGAGAGCACCCTAAAAACCGACCTACACAATGCTGTGATATTTATTCAAATAGCCTCTGGTTTCTGCTACGTAAATAATCTATAATCATATGTTTATCTTTTTTCGTAACCGGATAATAATAATAATAATGAATATGTAATAAATAGTAAATATGTTTGTTACTGATTACAGAACACAAAACAGTATAAATCTCAGTAGGTACATTAAAGTAGTATATTGCGGTAATGATATTGAGTAATTGTTTTTGTTTTAATGGATAACTAACATCGCGAGGCAATCTGCAAAATTTCTTACGAAACGTGCTCTTCAAAACTTGTTTATTTATTTATTTAATCATTTATCGCACAGTAAAAACACAATTCGCATTTAACGAAAGGAAAACACAAAGTAAAGGTACTGCTTATTTCTAAAAGAAATTTATTCCTGCATACCTAAATACAGGACACAATCACTACAATACAATAAAAAGCAAAACTTATGTAATACAAAAACATTATCAATAACATTAAATCTTTATAAACCATATAAATACTAAGTTAAATACATTGTCATAATATAATACCTATGAAATGGATGGATATGAATGGAACAGTGGATAAATACTGACGCCGTTAGTTGAAAATGCGCTATAGTGACAAAACTCAAAACCGAGAAAATAATGCTTAAAGAAATGAAATAAAAATACATCTTCATACTTTATCCACCTAGGAAAAAATGAAAATAGTGACAGATCGGCCTTTTTAACCGACTTCAAAAAAAGGAGGAGGTTTTCCATTCGACTGTTTTTCTTTTTGTATGTACGTACGTTACGCGATAATTTGTGAACCGATTAAGATGATTCTTTTTTTGTTGGAAAGGGGGTACCTCAGTATTGGTCCTACTCAAATTTGAAGAAAATATTCCACCTGTAAGGATGGCACAAGGGGATGAACCCGCTATCGTACACTTTCCGGTCACCGATTTCAATAAAACCTGGCGAATTGATGTAATCGAACGAACTTTCGAGGTCGATTTTTTTAGTACACCGCACTAAGATTGTTTTACTGATCACAACAGTATACATAACAAATTTTTTTTTAACTAACGGCGGCACTATAAGGCTTCGTAACTCTCGTTTTGAAAATAGCCAACGATTTACTTTCGTGAACAGTAATAGGAAGTGCATTCCAAAATCTGATCGCGTGAGCAGTGAATGCTTTCTGTATGGAGCCATGAATGGTAAAGTACGTTAAACGTATTTATATATAGATTTGGAGAGTAATTGTACAGGTAATATTGAAAGATTGAAGGTCCGAAAAGCTGTAGAATATAATTGGGTTCAAATCAATCACATATTCCAAAATAAGTGACACGTGACTAAAATGTTATTCGTCATCTTTGTTATATTTATTTAATCGAAAAATTCTTCAATAAAAAATCGGTTAACGTTATTCGGTATTGTACTCATTTTTATTAATCATATTTTTTTTTATTAAATAATAGATACACGCTTCGCCACAATCTCACCTGATGTTGTGACCGACGATGGTACGCGTTTGCCTAAAAAATGCCTATTCACTCTTGCCTTGAATAGCCCCAAATTGTACTTTTCAGGAAACAGAAACTGGTACAGTAGGTATAATAAAGTTACATGTGATCATACGTCAAAAATAATTTTATCACATGAAAGTGATAAAAAGAATACGAACTACATGAAACAAATTATGTACCTACATGTTATAAGCTATTACGACTAATTTCATTCGTAGAACTTTTAAAGCTGCGGTTCCACCAGAGATGTGTAATGGTTTCCACCAAAGCAGTGCGAGGCAGCGAGGCGGTGCGAGAATGAGTAACGGACTCTTTTCAGCTTTGCGCGGGTGGGGTGCGGTGTAGTGGGGTGAGCGGAGGCGACGGCGAGAAATATATTGTAAATGTGTACAAATGTTATTTACAAACAGCAACCCCTAGTTTCTTGCTCATTCGTCTCATGGGTAGGGAATTAGCTGTAGAGTTTAATGTTTTTTTATGACAATATTTGATGGAACGAACAAGTCGTGTGCCCGCTGGTAAACGACACGCCTGTCTATAACAGTTGCAGTGCCACTCAGTGCTTTAAATCGCAAAGGTCTGAGGGGCACTGCCTCTGCGCCCATCACCCTGAGACGTAAGTTGAAAAGTCCCATGTGCTTGTAATTTCACCAGCACCCTTACCCTTCAAAACCGGAACGCAGTAATGCTCACATTACTGTTTGGCGGCAGAAATAGTTAAGGTGACAGGTACTTCCCTGGACGAATTCTTTCACGAGGAGCTCCACTGCCACTAAAATGTAACCTTAGTGTGACCATTTCAAGTGTAATAACGCTTACCTACGAAATAAAGATTATTTTGATTTTGCTCGCATCCCTCCCTCACATCCGTCGCACATAGCTCTCGCTTTTCTTGCACGTACAAATACTAACATCACAAGGTCTTTTTCGCCAAAACTAGCGCAGTTTTGGCGCTAGTTTTGCAAAGCTAAGAATATCGCTTGTACACGTGGAGATACAACGATCCCTGTGACATTTCGGACCGTCATTTCTTAGATAGGAACTGATAGGAATCGGATGTAGTACGCAAACTCTTGAAAATTTATTTCAAGGAGTAGAGATTTGTATTTGGTGCCTAACTTTTAGGTGGAAGTCACAATAATATAATTATAGTAGAAAGTCATTTACATAAAGAGGTAATGTCACGGTCATAGAATGTCGCAACAGAAAATAACAAGACCTACACGAAATATGATAGTAAGATATCTGATTTGTCAGATAAAGATAAGTATTCTCATGGGCTATCGGAATCGCAAATAACTACTACATAATATACCTATAATGTATCTTGTAGCATTTACCCACAAGGGAAATCGTGAAGAGCTTTACAAAGTTTCATACCAACCATGTTTGTCTACTTAATGGACCTAAAACGACCTTTGTATCTCAAATTACCGGAGCTTGCTTATTTG